TGGGGCCCCAGGAGGGGGGGGAGGGACTGGCTGGGGGTCCCCTCAGGGCCAGAGGCCACATTGGACAGGAACTTAGGTCTCTGACTCCAGCCCCCGCCCCCCCAGACTGCGTTGCACAGTCAGGGACAGAAATGCTCTCTGCTGCCTGGGCACCCCCTCCTTCCAGGGGCCCCACCCCCACCCCGTCTGGCCCCTCAGCCCAAGCTGTCCTGCAGGGGACGAGGTGTGAGGCCACCTCCGGGAGGCCCTGACCATCTAGCTCTGACTCCAAGTCAGTCTTTAATCTGAGGGGTCATCTGGACGCCCTGGCCACCTGCCACCTCCACAGAAACTGCCTGCCTGGCCTTCCTCGGGCACCCCCCTCCCCGCCACCCTTCCCTCTGTCCCAGCAGCCCTCTGGGGCAAGGACTGTAAATTGGTTTTGCTTTAAAGACAAAGGTTTAACATTTTTTTCCCCTCAAAGCGTTTTTCCTTCCTGGAGTTTCCCAGGAGCGGCAGCAGGAAGCAGAGGTGGCTCCTGGGGACAGTCTCGGGCTTTCTTTATCCAAACATGGATTCCTCTGCCTAATCTTCACACCCCCGGCCACTGCCCAGGGCACAGGGAGGGAGCCCGGGCTCTTCCCACAGCCCAGAGAACCCTGGGTGGGGGCTGGAGCCCCGCCTGGCTGAGGGGCTGTGTCTGGGGCTCGGTTTCCCCACCTGGAGGAGGAGGGTCTGTCGGTTCTGAGCCCTGCGCCTCTCCCTGCCCGTCTGCCTCTTGGGCACGGGCAGCCCGGCTCAGCGAGCGTCCCCCATCAGGTGGCCGGCAGGGACCTGGTCCCCACTCCGTGGCCGTGGGAACAGGCTCAGGCAGTGCTTGAGCTCAGGGCTGGGCTCCAGGCCTCCTGATTTCCGCTGCCGCAGGAGCCTTGATCCTGGCCCAGGTGGTGCTGTGTGACTCATGGCAAGTCTCTGCCCCTCTCTGACGGGGCTTTGATCGCGTTATTCTGGAGGCCTTTGGCTTTTTTGCCTGCCTGGGGGCTCCCCGCCAGCCCTCCCCCTTTCTTCGAGGAGGTGGGATTGGGGGCGGGCGTGTGTCTGGCTTCACTCTCTCGCCCTCTCTTTCCCTCAGCTCTGCTCCTGTCGGTAAGATGAGCTTGTCCCGTGTCCTCCCTTGTGGGAGACCCCAGCCCCTGCTCCCCTGCTTGGGGACCCCACAGCCATGCTGCTCTGCTCCCCTCCCCTCCCCCATGGAAGCCAAGACAAGGGAATTATTTTTGGAACAAGAGCAGTTACACAACAAATGCATTATTTATCTCTGGGCATGGAGGAGAGAAGGCATTTTGCTGGACTTCTTAATTCTTTAACTAGATTGGAGGGTGCCTGCCCGGGTATGTGGCCATGTATGTATGGCTCACTTGTCCTGCACAAGACTAGGTGTGTGTGTGTGTGTGTGTGTGTGTGTGTGTGTGTGTGTGTGTGTCTGTCTGTCTGTGTGCATGCCGTGGAGTCTGGATCACGTGGGGCCACGTGGGTCTTTGTGTGGGCAGGCGGGCGAGCGTGGACATGGGTGTGCTGGGCGTGTGTGAGTGCCTGTGAGTGTGTGTGCACCTGAACTGTTAACTTGCCAGGCTCCCTCCTGTGCCCACTGTCCTCGGACTCTGCCCCTCCGGCCTCCTTCCAGGCCCCCAGCTCCCGCTTCCCTCTCTTGCCGCCCACCACACTCCCCCTTTTACATAACGGGCCCCAGAGTGCTGCTGGCAGGGAGGCCCCCCCGCCCCCGGGAGGGGTGGAGAGGGACTGGGGGTCTGCACTCGGAGCCCTCACACTGATCTGTCACCCCCTCTCGGTGCTGCCTTTCAGGAACCAGGTGGCAGAGGGGTGTCTTCCTCCCTGCCCCTGTCTCGCTGGCCCCCCCCTCAGAGCGCCACTCGCCAGCCTTCCGTGGGGATCGTCTGAGCCCGGAGCCTGAGGAGAAAGCAGAGGAGGAGGAGGAGGCGGGAGAGGAAGTCAAGCTCTGAGAGCCGTGCACGTTCCCAGCAGAAGAGCCACGTGGGAAGCAGGCTGTGGGGCCCGCAGCACCCCTGGCCCCGGCCTGGCCGCGGTGCCCAGCACCTGCTGGTAGCCCCCCAGAAGGCCCCCAGCAGTTGGTTCCGGCAGAGTCTCCCTCACCTGGGGCCCCTGTGCTGGGGGTCGCCCCCAAGATGGTGGCAGCCCCAGGGAGGACTGTGCTGCCAGCCCCAGCCTCCAGCCGCTAGG